CGAAGTCTGGAACGGTGCAGTTATGGACGTGGTGGAACATGAGCCTCTCGATGTTGTCTCCCGTAATGTCCCAGTTGACAGGTGCTGTCAGATGCATCACCGACGTATTTCGAATTTGTCGCGCCAGCATGCAAGCGGTAGCAGTGGCGTTCGCGCTTGGCGATCGTGACGCTCGCCTTGTTTGTACAGCATTGAGGTTCGGGTATCCATCGCATTTGTGCTTGTCTTTTTTGCATCTTTTGCATGTGGGTTTCTCCTCGTCACACTTCACATGTCGGACTCTAGCAGCAGTTGGTCAGATCCTGTACAGCGAGGCCGGTGATACAAACAAAGTCTAGATAGCGAACTATAGAAACAAGGCAAAGAGGCCTTACTTGCTGTGATGAAAGGAAACTTGGGGTCAGTCGAAGCATTCTTGAACCAACTAAAGTGGCATCAGTGTTGGTCACCAACCATGTCAGACATCCGGTCCTAACCTTTGACGCGCTCGCCCTGGTTCGCTTGGGTTTCTTTGGCGCGGGGGCCACCGAAAAGACTCCGGTCCCCGGAATGTGCGCGTCCAATGGCATTATTGGCTTCGATATGCGTACGAAAGAAAGCTTATCAGACAAATCAAGTTGTGAGATCGAACGGAGCTTGATGACAGCTGTCCGTACCGAAACATCGGTGAAAAGGTGGGAGCGCGCTCTCGGATACGGTAACGCGGGGGCTAAGACAGGGTATGCGCCAAGCATCATCACACTTTTGGGCAACGCCCACTATATAAGCCAAGGTGGTCGAATTGGTCAAAAGCGCGCCGACGCGCCCCTCGGGCGCCGATGAGCCCTGGCCATCCCCTGGTTTTCCCTGCGACGTCAGCAACTTCGTCAGGGACAACAAGCGTTTTAGCGCTAACACTTAGTCTTTTACGACGTAGCCAATCATACGACTCAGTTGAAAGTTATTATTCAAGAAATATGGGCCTCCCGAGGATGGGACCGTTCGAGGTTCCCGCAAAATTGTCTGAACTCGACGGAAGAAGGTGCCTAGCTCCGGTGATTCACACGGCGACGCCGATACAAAAAGTGCTTCTTTCAGCCCTACCGGGCAACATGCGTTCAAAAGATCGCGGGAATTCTCTTTCGTCTTCCTATTGGCGTCTTTACCTCCTCGAAGCAAACCTGTGGCATCTACCAATCCCGCTAGCTGAGAATGATTCAGCCCCTGTTTTAGACCGTTGGCTGGAGCTCCCTCTCCACTGCGGGTATTGAAGGTTGAGGAGTCTCGTGAGTGTCATCCCTTAGACGTAAAACTCTCTCGGGGTTGCAGTTGCGACATACGACAGAAGATGGGATGGCAGCCCGGCATATCAATGTTAACCTTTCGGAGTCTTGACCGTTTGTTTCTATCCCTTTGTTCTGGCAACGATAATTTGATGAAATATGTCAAGGCCTATTACTGCTGCCTAAACCTAATCTCCTAAGCTGAAATGGCTTAGCACACAACACGAAAGATTGCAACTCCAGTGCTATTATTGGCATCGGCACCTGTCTGGTGTGATTACTGATGGACACCGATATTCTAGAAGGCCCCTTAGCGGAACCTTTATTCTTTCCGGCCTCCATGGCATAATGTCCCGCATATTCGCCGTGCATCTGAGTACCATCGCGCTGTCGTTCACGTTGTTATGGCGCTCACACTAGGGCCTCCCTGGTACTCTCACATGTCCAGCATCTGACGGAGAGTTTGACAGCATGAGCCTCTTGAACTTCACTGGGGAATGATGTAACTTTGCTGTCGTCGTTGCTCAACTAGTAACATTGTTTGTGAATTGTGCTCCAGCTCACTAAACGATTTTCAAAACATTCTCCAAGGTATCCTGGGCGACACAGTCTGCATGAATCTCGGTCTCGGTCAAAAGTACAAATATGGTCAACAGTGATGCACGTGTTCTCAGCAAGAGTTAAAGATCTTGCCGGTGGGACGGTCTGGCCTCCCCCGCAAGCCCCGCGCCGAGAAACAGCGATGAGACTCGGGGAGGCACGCTCGGACTGCAAAAGCACATAGCCAGGGGAAAACCCTTGGCCAGGTTACCAGTCGTGCCGGGGCGTGCAAGGGTAGCTAAACAACTCTGCCGACCGTTAAACTACCTTGCCTGACTGCCTCTAGAACAGCAGGCTAGGGGGTGCTCCGCCCCAACTTACCAGGCGAAATCTTCAATGCAACGTTAACATTACCACGAAGGTGACTTTGAGTATACCCGACAGCAAACTCCTCCCACGTAGGAGAAGCATCACATGGAATCGGTACACTCTCATCATTTCCCCCGTTGCGCCACGACAGAAATACCAACTAGGATTGTGAGCCGACGTGTAAGGGTGCTCGAGATAGGGTAAAGATAGCGTTGCAGATAAGAAGCTCACCATCCACTGCTAATCAGAGCATCTTCTGTGAGGGTTTGAACAGTACGAGTCTTGCAGTGCGATATCTGTGAACAGGGGCTGCTGAGCTGGCTACCGGATATCATGGAAGTCATCACAAAAGCTTCAAACTTCGCGCCGAGTCAACTCAATGGTCACAGTGAACATTCATAGGGTGGTGTTCAGTACCCCCAACAGGTGACTGTAGTACGATCGACATATAATAAGATGCTCTGGATTGTTTCGGTGCACATCGCAAATCTCTCCGCTTGAGACTGGGGTCCATATTTGCAACCATCGACTCAAAACTTCCGACCGGGCTCCAGAAGCATGTCTGACGACATCAACAAATGTTATGGGATCAATATTGACTGCAACAAATGGCCAAAATATTCCCTCTTTGGGCTGAGCTGAGACAGACACGTAATTTTACTTCAGATGACACATGTCTGTCGATTCACCTGAACTCGTGGCTGAGTTGCCAGGCTGATTTCTCAGGGGAAATCGACGGCAGCGTAGCCCTATTCGGCCCTTTTGTGACGGCCAATGGTGAGACGTGTGCGAGCGAATCCAGCAACTCAAACAAAACTTGCTATGCAGTCGGCTCAACAGCAATCTCATCAGTCATCATAATGTCACTATACCAACACTGGTCTTGATGTCTTCGATCTAACGAATTGGTGAGGATTGCGGGTACTCCTTTGTGTTTTTCTACTAGGCTTTAGCGACCCCATTTGGCATGGTCTACTCCAGTCTACAGGTTTCAAGTGGAATCGAACAACGGCCTAAAGCGGTCTAAGGTTGCAACCAACGGGCCATGCCTCTTTCATGGTTAGTGATTCCGCCTAGATATGGGAGCCGAATACACAGTCGGCATATTCGTGCCGCGCGTCAAGGATCGATAGGCTCAAGACCCAAGGCATGGGGATGAACACCGAGGCCTCCAGCTGAGACCCCACTGCACTAGACATGCAGGAGACGTCTGATTGAGCAAGTTCGACACAGCCCCCATCGATACGGGCGAGGTAGGGCTTAGGCAGCCGTTTTGGCAAGGCATTTTCCCCGTCTTTGGTCTAATGAGGGTGGCCCTGCTGATTTCTAGTCTCGTCCGGCGCCGTTACGATCCTCGGAGCCTCAGTCCATAGCATTCTCGGCCCCCGGGAAGTACCCGCTCAATCTTATTATGACTTCATGTCAGGGCCGTCGCGTAAAGTGCGCGGGGGCCGAAAACAGCTTTATTCTCGGATGGGTAAGTAGACAATTTTCAAAAGTTCAACTCCTTGCTGGCAAACTTAACCCATTTCAAACTCATTGTCAAATTCTCTGATGGCGATCTTGCCGCGTTTTGCAACTTATGGCTGCATGATATGTCAGGCCAAATTCACATGCGCTATCGACGTGTGTGTAAGCGATGTAAATTCGTTTTCGACACTGAACACCGCTATGGCACACATGCCTGTAGAAGCTCTGGTTCTCAAGGATGTTCGCCAGTTGCAATATCCACTACCACTTCGCCAAGGTAGGCCAGTACTCAGAGCAATCACTAATCAAACAGCCTTCGGCCACACGACACTGACGATTTCAAGATCCCCCAAGAGGAACTATTCCATAAGGCCTATCAAGACCAAACCAGAAGACGACTGATGATATCCCAACAAGCATCTCATCGAATATTCAAAAGAGGTAGGTCTTTTCCAACTTTGGCGGGTCATGTTTCCCACCAGCTAAGCAGGGGTGTCTCCAGCAGTACTTCTGTGCTAGTTCCCACAGCCCTGGAAACCCTCCGAAAGAGAGTACAACGACCGAGTTGCGAGCGAACATTGAGCCTCGAAGGAACTGATTCACAAGATGAATTTTGTCACCGGTGGTGCCATGCAATAAGTACCAGACGATGCGGCAGCTACATGTGATCATTCCTACATGTGCCTTGTCGACTTTCAACATTGGAACACGAGACCCTTGGGACACAGCACACGACACACCTGACCTGATTACAATTCGTCTGTAAAGATGATTCAGGTCGAACTGATCGACTATCAGCCTCCGGCACTGCTTACGGCACGGGCCGATCCTTGCAGCCATGTGGCAGGCAATTGACCCAGATGCCTAGGCATGTACATCGGCATCAGTCATTTCGGACGAACTTCGCTCTGATCGCTGGCCAATACCGTTGCGCATCATGTCGCTTGGCAGCGCAAGCGGTCCTCGCTTGATGCAAGATTGCTACGATGAGGCCTTGCTGTTATGGGGTTGAGGCGGCGTTTGCCAAGCTGCGCGGCCAAGTGCGGACTTTCGGGGTTGCAACGACCGAACACGCAGATCGTTGAGAACCACAAAAACGAGGTCGTGTTGCACCAAACTACGAATGAGCTGCACCATGCCGAGAAAGTCGTATGCAAGCTGAATGGATCCTGTCTCAGCATGTGCTTGGCCTACAGATGGAGGTCCGCGGACACCTATCGCATCCCGGTACCTGCCAGCGTCTTAATGTCATGTAGATAGAGAGAGATGGGTATAAAGACGAACCGCCTTACTACAAAACCTCAAATTGTACCTTTGGCTGTTCAAGTCTCTTTGGACCACTCAAACCTACATCTCAACATGGCGACCGAGCAGAGCATGCGGATTCTAGTTGTAGGCGGTAGTGTCTCTGGGCTATCTTTGGCCATCATGCTGGAGAAGTTCGGCATCGACTACCTAATCCTAGAAGCCTATCCCACCATTGCGCCTCAGCTCGGCGCGAGCATCGGTCTCCTGCCCAATGGTCTAAAGATCCTCGACCAATTGGGATGCTACGAACGCTTGCGTGAAATCGGGGGTGACATCTACTACAAATGCTCCATCAGATCCTCAGATGGGCGGATTCTGTCAGAAACGAAAGACGCAAGTCTTTCTGAGAGCATTGAAAGCATGTGCGTCGCCAAGTTCGTCCGATGTATCCGCTATGATTGACTTCGACTAGGACGGGCTACCCCTGCGTTTTCATCGACAGGCAAATGCTTCTTCAGGTTCTGTACGAAAAGATCCATCACAAGGATCGCGTCTTGACGGGGAAGCGAGTCTCCCGGGTGGAGATGACCGACTCAGGTGTCACTGTCAAGACAAAAGACGGAAGTTCATACGCCGGAGACATTCTCATTGGGGCTGACGGGGTCCGAAGTACTATCAGACAGGAAATGTGGCGCCTTGCTTCTGAGGAGAAGCAGAACGTGTTTCCACCAGACGAGGCCCAAAGTAAGTCATTGCACTGGCAAAAAAAAGCGATAAATGGCTTTCTTACAAATGTCGAAGGTCTCAAGTCAAACACGAAATGCATCTTTGGCATTTCGAATCTTCCCAAGGGCTGGCGTGGGATGCAGCATTCTGCCTTCAATGATGGGCGGAGTTATCTACTTGTTCCAGCACCGAAAGACCGGGTTTACTGGTTCTTCTTCCACGTGATGGACGGCACCTATTACGGGAAAGACATCCCGAGGTTCTTAAAAGAAGACGAAAAGGTGCTCGCATCGAAGTATTTTGACGACAATATCTCGGACTCAATTACGTTTCGCGATATTTATGAAGGACGACAGGTTGCTACACTTGTAGCATTGGAGGAGCACGTCTTCTCTCGTTGGAACTACCGACGAATTCTGCTCATCGGCGACTTAGCGTATAAGGTACACTCCGTTACGTTGACAGCGTCCGCCCCCCCTTTTTTTCCCCGCTTATGCAAAAACATAAAAAAAAGCTAATTT